CTTATTCCATAAGTCTAGTTTACTCATACCAAATTTCAGCTAAAACTTCAATCGGGAAGGCATTCAAATGAATTCTTGAAAATAACTGCGCCGTTTGAAGTGCAGTTATCTTCAAGAATTCATTTGAATGCCTTCCCGATTGAAGTTTTAGCTGAAATTTGGTATGATTAAACTAGACTTGATGAATAAGATGCTCAAAAAATTTCATCAAAAAATTCCACCGGGAACCACCCCAAACGACGACGGCCGGACAGAGTCTCCTAAATAAGGGCTTATTTGACCTTTTTGGGTTAGTACATGGGCCTATTTGCACCTTTTCCCAATTTATTTACCAATATACTGCTACTTTAAACTATGGTCCTGCGAGGAACATGGAAAGAGAGAAACGTCACTGCGAGGAGACAAAAATAAGGGGAAGACCTTAGATAAAAAAAAAATCTCCTTTCTCTTTTAACGGTTATATCTTTTACATTTTTGTTCCAACTTTTCTAAAAAATACACCAAATTTCATAACTTTTTATGATCTTTCATATGACACCAATATTATATATATATAAAATTTTAAAAAATTGAAGATCGTATAGAGTGAAAAGACTAGTTGTAAGCAATTTTTTTTTACAAAAATGAGAAGATCTAGAGCCCGTTTGGTAGCACGAAAATCGGTTGTCTTAGAGGATTCTGTTGAAATTTATGAAGTTCTGGGTGAAGTGACTGTATTGGCTGATTCTGCTGATTTAAGAAAAAATTATTTTTAAAATACATTTTATTAATAAAATAAAGAAAAAATTATATGTAAAAATAAATAAAATGGTCATCTACTGTAACTTCAACCAATACAGCCAGAAAAGTAACCCAACTTTACTTTTTCTGTTTATTACACGAAAACAAAATATATGTGCTTGTTGAAAAAGTTAGTTGATAAGCCTGATAAACCGAAAAACAGTGTTGCCAAACGACCTCCTAATTGGTTGACTTAGGTTCAAAAGTTTTCATTAATAGATTCAATTGCTAAAATAAAGACCTCATAGTTATTTTAAAAATCGTTTATGTATATTTTTCACATGAAGTAAAGTAAAAATATATTTAGTGAATGTATTGGCGATGCTAGATTGTATGGTAAAACATGATTAACGGGGTGGCATTTTTCATATAAAAAAGATGACACTCCATCCCTGAGGCCCCCCAGCACTGGTCGGACAGCTAGAAGGATGTAAGTAGGTTTTAATCACAATGTGACAGATAGAGAGTGAGACTTTGGTCCTAGGACTTCTAGATGGATGTGCTATGCATTTTTAGCATAATAACCTCTCAACCAAGCATTCCAGCCCAACTGTTTGAGGGGTTACCGTGCTTAGTGAGAGGTCTCGAGTTCGAATCCCGCTAGGCACATAAGGGCTTCAAACATAGTTAAAAAAAACATAGTAACCTCTCATTGCAGTTGTCGGGGTTCGAACCCGAGACTTACCCCTTATGACACCCATATCTATCAGTTGAGTTACGCCCACAAACACATGGTGACATTTTTCATAAAATCTAGCACCGTCAAACATTTTTTTTATTTCCTATGAAATAATATCTAGGAGGTAAACGTAACAATGAGATACGCAGTATAAAATTTTACATTTGGATTTGTTTGTGAAAACTGTGAACCAAAATTACTAGTCGGGTTTTCATATTTCTGAAATTTGTCCAAATAACGTCTTTTCTCTGTGTATTTTATAACTATGAAACTCTGATCTCATCTGGTTTGTTAAATTTGGTCTGGCCAGATCTAGTCTGTTTAGGATTGGTCCGATGTGAGATTAAAACAGTCCAAGTAAAAACATAATTAGTTTAGAATTATGTTTATTGACATATCATATCATGGTTGTGGCGTGCCTTTACCTCATATATGGTCTACAATTTTTTTTAAACTTTATATATCCAATATTGGTGTTAAATGAAAGATCATAAAAAAATATGAAATTTGATATATTTTTTAAAAAGATTCGAGTAAAAATGTAAAAGATAAGGGTTTTTATAAAAATATTACTAAAATAAAACTTATTTACATAAATATGAGTATTCATTACTACAACGTAGTGTTGTAGTAATTTAAGTTCAAAACTTGAACATGAATTACTATGATATCATTACTACTCTAGTAACTAATCATATTTTTGTAAATCATCTTTATTTTGGTCATATTTATGTAATTATTTCAAAAGATAAAGCACTTAAAAGAAAAAGTGAATTTTTGTAACTTAGAATCCACCTAGCCACCTTATCCCCAGTCCTTATACCATGCAACCGGTGCATGGTGAATACCATGCACCCATGAGTATATGAGATGTAACTCGTGTGATCTCACATGTAATTTCAAGTTAATCAAAATGTAAATTACATTCATTCACATGTAACTCGTTGAAATTTAAACCTACTCTAGTAACTAATCATATTTTTGTAAATCATCTTTATTTTGGTCATATTTATGTAATTATTTCAAAAGATAAAGCACTTAAAAGAAAAAGTGAATTTTTGTAACTTAGAATCCACCTAGCCACCTTATCCCCAGTCCTTATACCATGCAACCGGTGCATGGTGAATACCATGCACCCATGAGTATATGAGATGTAACTCGTGTGATCTCACATGTAATTTCAAGTTAATCAAAATGTAAATTACATTCATTCACATGTAACTCGTTGAAATTTAAACCGCATTAATTGAAATGTATCTTGGAAACAAATTAGATGTAACTTGAGATATGTAACTTTAGACTATTGAAATGTAAAAATGTTTTTACACAGATGTAAATATATATATATATATATATATATATATATATATATGAATATTTCTAATCAACTCTAATATTCCTCATGTTTAGCCAGCAAATATCCATCACGATTGCTTTCTAATCATTAAGATGAGGAACAAGCATGGACACCGATTATGCAGCCGCTCCATTATTGAGGTGCTAGGGTTTTGAATCGCCTAGCTATTTCCTCCAACCTCCGATCTTCGCCAATGTGAAGGACGCAATCCAAAGGCCTTTGTTCAGCTTGCGGCTTGTTGAGATTAGGGATGACAATGGGGCGGGGTTGGGGCGGGGGTTCACTCCCCCATCCCCGCCCCAACCCGCTAGACCCACGGGTACCCAACGGGGGAGGTACTTGTCAAAAATTAACATCATTTTAGACTCTGACAATTTTTCAAAAATTAAACAACACTTCTAGTAGCCATTTTTTTTTACTTTTTAAGTGTCAATGTAATCTTACATTCAAATCTAGAACACATTATACACGTCCTAATTTAGTCATTTTTATCAAACTCTAAATTAGCATTGATTAGCTCTATAATATTTTCTTAAACCCTGCATTCAATCAATCATGGTCATTTGATGGCATCTAGGACGGCATATGATCACAAAATTTTAAGAGCCCTAACTACAATCATAAAGATGACATTCAAAAGAAAAGAATTAATGCATTGTAATAGCAAAGGAAAAAAACTTTCACACCGTGCCTAGGGCGTTTAAGCTAATATCACTTTATAACTTTCCCAAATTCATTTTACTTTATCCCTAAAAAAATCATTTTACTTTATGATTTTGATAAGCAATTTTACAAGATAGCTTAGTTATTAAACAAGAATTAGATCGACCCATTAGGTACAATCCATTAGATAGGAAACCACTAAACCCACCGGGCCACCATGCTATTTTAATTACTTCGTATTAGTATTACTATTATTATTATTAGTATTATTATTGAGATTATTATTATTATTATTATTATTATTATTATTATTATTATTATTATTATTATTATTATTATTATTATTATTATTATTATTATTATTATTATTATTAATTATTACGGGGGACGGGGCGGGGACGGTGCGGGGGTGCGTAACCCATCACCCGCCCCATATTTATGCGGGGAGAAAATATCTCCCCCACCCCACCACCCGCCCCAACTCCCCCCCATGGGGCGGTTCCACACGGGTCCCCGCCCCCATTGCCATCCTTAGTTGAGATCGATAGAGAGAAGTTTGATCTATTTTAATTAAAATTAAAATCCCGTGTTTTAGGATCGGGTGCACCATCTCATGGTGCGCCGGTAGTAGGGTATAATTTGCCCCTTATCCCCATCTCCTTAGCAATATGCCGTTTCTATTCCTAAGCACACTGCGTTTTGTATGTGGGAGTAAAGTCGTCGTTTCGTTTGGCTATTTCCCCAACAGTAGTTAATTGGGCAGTATTCTTGTAAATAATTTTAGCCTTACATCAATTTGATAAATAGTTTATTTTTTAATAATAATGTGGAAAATCAAAATTATGTTGGGGAATGGGGAGCTTCAGCTTTGAAGTGCAATTATCTATCACCGGAAAGGAGTAAAGGATCAGTTTGGTCCTCGAAGTTGCAAAAAGGGGTCAAATAAGTCCTTTTATAGAAGATTTTGTCCGGACGTGCCATTTGAGGTGGCTCCCGATAGAATTTTTTGATGAAATTTTTTGAGCATCTTATTCATTAAGTCTAGTTTACTCATACCAAATTTCAGCTAAAAATTCAATCGGGGAGACATTCAAATGAATTTTTGAAGATAACTGCGCTTTTAACGGCACTGTTATCTTCAAGAATTTATTTGAATGCCTTCCCGATTGAATTTTTATCTGAAATTTGGTATCAGTAAACTAGACTTAACGAATAAGATGTTCAAAAAATTTCATCAAAAAATTCCACCGGGAGCCACCTCAAATTGCACATCCGGACAGAATCTTTTACTCCCTCCGTCCCTTTTAACTTTGCCAACTTTCCTTTTTTGGATGTCCCATTAACTTTGCCACTTTCCCATTTAAGTAAAGAATTTGTGATTCCAGTTAATTCTCTCTCCTCTGCACAAACCTCAACCACACAGTTTTTACTTTATTAATCCCCGTGCCAGTCAAACTTGGCAAAGTTACTAGGGACGGAGGGAGTATATAAAGACTTATTTTACCCTTATCTTAGCCGGAAGGGGAAAAACACTTTCAGTAAAATATGGCTCATAGCTGTTGAGGAAGGAGAGAGACGGCGGGTTGCGCTGCCGCAGAGGCTAATCGGGTTGGGAGGACAGAACCGCCGTGTAAAATGCAGTTCGATTGGCTTCCCAAGCGCATAACCGCTTCGCTTCTAAACCTAAATAGCCATTCCCATCACATCATTTGCCCAGCTATACCTACTAATGACAGTTCTATATTTCTACAACGTTCGATTTCATGCTACTCCGGTTCAACTTCCGCCGACTGCTTTTATCTAAAACACAGAATCTATCCTAATAATATCCGCCCCCGCTGCCGCAACGTTAAATTTGGTCCGTTTGTGCAGCCGCGATGCTCATCTTCTACATTAATCGGGAAAGGTGAAGGAGAAGAGGAAGAAAAACTAGGTGAGGCAAGGGGTGCGCTTTGCGATTATCTACGGCAGCTTGGGATTTCCACGGAGGAAGCCACTGAGATCGCCCTCGCTGCTCCCAGCTACCTGAAAATGTTGATTGAGAGCGTTGAAGACCTCGACGAACTATCTTTATGGAATTCTTGGACAAATTCCGCCTCAGCACCTCCTCACTCCCAGCTACCGCAGCAGCCACCGTCTTTTAGAACTAAGGTTTATCAAATGGCTCGACAGAAAGGAGATAAGGGCATGCTTCCCTACTTGGAGAGCGCTGGCCTCACTCTCTCATCTGCAACTCACCTAGCTCGCTATCTCTCGTCCTCTCACACTCTTCCTGACCTGATTCAAAAGGTATTTGTTACTTTCAGGACAGTGAATCTTTTCCTGCTTCCTAATATCATTTGGATTCTCAAGCAGAGCACACTATGAGATGCATATGACACTCTCTTACACGATCACATTCCCGGATCCCTCTAAATATATTATCACTTATTTTTGCAAATGCCTTTATTTTTTCTTGAGAGCTGTTTCCTATTCTATGTGGGTAATTTGTTACATTGTCAGCTTATGATATCATAATGATTTCAATTTAAAGTGGGAAAATTTGACTCAATCCGTATCTTATTATCTGCAGGTTATATGAATTTGTTGTAGACAACACTAATCTTATACGAAGTATTATATTCTGGCATAGAAAAGTTCTTTATTGAGTTGTTGTAGACAACTCTAGCCTTACTATTTTTTTCCAAAGAATTATAATGGGAGCGAACTCAGCTACTTAAAATGTGTAATACTGCTTTTACGTTATTGTGATTAGTTTTTGTTGTTGCCAACTACTCCGTAGTATATTTTCCATCCAGTGTATTAGTTTGCTGATTTTAATTTTGTTATAGGTTAACTATTTAAATGAAGTATTATTTTCTCACACTGGTGATGAATGGGTAGTTGGTAAAAGTGCCAGACGAATGATGACACACCTTTCTATTTCTATTGATGATGATGTGCAACAAACCTTGTCATTCTTTGAGAAGGTCAGTATGTCTTCCTGCATTATGATGGTTCATTTTATCTGCCCTTTCTCTTTCCTCAGCCTCAGTTTATTTCAGCGTCATATTAATTTTTATAAATATCTAATACTACGTAGTATTTAACTATTTATTTTGTGCACTCCATACTTTCTGCAGATCCAAGCCAGACGAGGAGGTCTTGATTCTTTAGGCTCCAAAGATACTTCTTTCCGACATCTCATTGAATCATTTCCACATCTTTTGTTGCTTCCGTTGGAGACTAAAATGGAGCCTATCCTTCAAATCCTTGAGGATATTGGTGTATCACATGGATGCAAAAGACAAATTCTACTACTCTTCCCGCCAATTATTTTCTATGATGTTGAAAAGGACATAAGACCAAGATTACATTCTTTCGTAAAAGTAGACCCTTCTTTTTAGGAAATTATAGGATATTAGTGTTATTGTGTTAAGTCCTTCGTATTTTCCTATTAATGACTGAACCCGTATTCTACAAACTGTCTTTCAGGTTGGTGCAGTGGACCAAGATTTTGGTCTGATGTTACTCAAGTATCCATGGATCCTTTCTGCAAGCATCCTGCAAAACTATGAGAGGATCCTAAATTTCTTTAATAAGGAGAAGGTGCTAGATATTTGAATTACCTTTTAAAAAATTTGACCTTACACAACAGCCATTGCATGTGTTATTACGTTATCAATTATCATTATCTTGTTATTCTTGTATCTTCATGTCATAACATGTTCACCTTCCGAAGGGGAGCCTTGGCACACTGGTTGCGGTGTTGCCGTGTGACTGAGAGGTCACAAGTTCAAGTCTTGGGAGCGGTCTCTTATTAAAATTACAAGGTAACGCTTGCCCCGTATACAGCCTTGTGATGGGACCCTTCCCCGGACTCTCACCTTGCAGGGATGCAATGTGCACCGGGCTGACCTTTTTTTAGTGACATTTGTCTTCCACACCTTACTTCCAACTACACTGGGAGTTCGAGGCATGAAATTTATAGCCAAAATCATTGTCTTAGTAACACTACAATATGAAAACAAGTCTTAAATGTGGTTTTCTCTGGTGCTAGTATGACTCACACGATCTGCCAATGCGGATTGTTTTTTATTATGTTTCTAAAGAGTACTTTTTCTTCTGTCAGATACCCATTGCTAGTGTGGCCCATGCAATTAAAAGATGGCCACTCCTTTTAGGATGTTCAGTTGACAAGCTGAAGTTGATGCTTGATCAGTTTCGAGACTTGGGCATCATAAACAAAAAGTTGGGTAAGGTTATTGCTACAAGTCCTCAGCTATTGGTGCAGAGACCTAAAGACTTCCTTCAGGTTAGGGTCCTTCATGAATGTTTTCCCATTATGGATCTTCCTTTTAAGATTTTTTGTATTCTGTGCAACAATGGTGTGGAATATATGTAATTAATGACCCCTATATTACTAATGGTCTTTTCGATTCCAAAAATAGGAGCCTTTTGATATTTTCCATAAAAGTGATTGTCCTCATTAATAATCGTACACCATGAATCGTATTCCTTATCCCTAAGTTGCCTCAGCACAAATTTCATCGATCAGCTTCATCCGGCCTTCCTGTTGGTGTCAAATTGCTCACCGGTCAACCACCACCACCGACGAACGCCCTCCGTAGTCCGCCGCAACCCCCCATCTCAGCCAACGCAGCCATCGCAGTTTCTGATTCTCCCTTCTTCTCTTTCTACTCAAACTGGCGCGGCGGTGAACACAGCGGAGTTTTGTCCTGGCTATGGCGAGCGACGGCGATTTCTGCCGACGTTTGTTCTATTGCGATGATCGGCAGTTAGGGTTCGAGGGGACGGCGTTGTGCTGCAGAGGCGCAATTGGGGACAGTGTTCTACTGCAGAGGCGCAATTGGGGACAATATTCTGCTGCGAAGGTGCAATCAGGGATGGTGTTCTGCTGCGGAAGCGCAATTGGGGACAGCATTGGGTTGCGGAGTACTGGCAGGACATGGGAGAGGGAATGAGGCAGGGGACTGGGGCAGGGGATCGGGATTGGGTTTGGGGCTGCGGCTGGGTGCGGCAAATTGGGTGTGGGTTGTGGTGGTGGCATACGGCATTTGCAGGGGCTGGGGCGGGTTGTGGCGGTGATATGCCGTTGTTGCAGAAGCAGAGTGTGGTGTTGGGCAACAATTTTGCACGTCTGAGGATGGGGGAGGGGCTGGGAAGGTCACTGTTGGGGCAGCCATCGGCGGTGGTTATTGGGGGGCAGGGAGGGTAGGCAGGGAGCTGGCGACGGGGTGGTAAACGAGGTGGGCCAGATGGCATCAATGGGATGTTGTGGTGGCTGCTGGAGTCTGTGCGGCAGGTGGTCGGGGGCAACAACGGTGTCGTTAGAAAATGTTATCGGATTTTTTTCCTACAGTCATAGTGACATGTATCAGAGCGACAATGACATTCGAAAGTGACACAAAAATATGGTAGTGACAACTTTCAGTGACATGAAAAAAGCGCAGTGACATAATTTTTTCAGTGACATCATGTTTTCCTAATATATGACCTTCTAACTCACATTCAGGTAAAAAACCCGAATATATGTCGTTGAATTTCATTTTGCCATTAGTTTTATGTCCTTGTTTTATTTTGCCATGATTTAAATTTATTATAAATCAAGTTTTGTTAAAATATAGGGAAAACTGTCAAATAGGTCCTTCTACTACTGTCAAAAAGTCAATTGAGACCTCGTACTATTAGATCATCCAATTAAACCCTCCTACTTTAAAAAAACACCCAATTCCGGCTTTAAACCGGTCAAGTACCGGTCATCCTGATTTTTGATGACGTGGAAAGCCACATGGTCTTATTTTTTCTGTTGCAGAAATGTTTTAGGACAAATAAGCAGCAACGTGGAGCCGTGGACCTTTCTTCTCCCTGTTTGGTAACTCCATGAAATACTCATTTTAACTTTTCACCCACTTCATAATCTTATCCACTTTTTTCCCTGGACTCCCACTTGGACTTCCACGTTTTCACCCACTAATTAGAATGCCCTTCAATCCTCACCTCTGGAAAGTAAGTGGTGAAACCCGACTTGATATCTGTTGCCTCCAAATTTCAACGATGGTGAAACAAAATCTGAGTTCAGATGTCCTTCTAAGCCTTCTTTTCCCCTCGCTGTTCTTCCTTCTTCTGAGTCCTGATTATCACTATGCTGAGAAACAACAAAGCTTTCTGAGGTGAGAATGAGATTTGGGGGTTTCTGGTTTGTGAAAGGGATAAGTTTGAGCTTTCAAAAGTGAGTTGGAGGTGAAGGAAATTCTGCGTTGAGTGAATGAGATCGTCCATGGAGGAGGAGTTTCATCACCACTCGCTCTCAGGAATTTACGGTCAACAGCCCAATCAATCAACCGAATAAATTAACTAAGAATTAATTGATATTGCTGACATGGTATAGGAGATATCATAAAAAAGAAAAAAAATTTAGGACATATGTATAGCAAGGGCATGGTGGGAGTCAAATATGCAAGGGCGCGCTACACTTCATAGGCCTGGGTGTGGCGATAATAATGCTAAGGCTGTTAAGTCGTCGCCCGGAAGCGACGCGCCACTCCAATGCCCGAGGATGGTGTCAAATATGCAAGGGCATGGTGGGAGTCGATGTGGTGTGTTAGGAACATAGATATTAATACTAATAAGTGGGCCTGTTATAATGGTCCTATTATTATAGAAAATAATAAGAGGGCTTGTACTATAAATAGAAAAGGGAGGGAAGGCAATAGGGTGCTGGGACTGGGACTTGGAAAGATCGAGTGTTATCTCTTTCTTTTGGGACTTGTATACGGTTTATCATATTGAAATAAAGTTGCATATTGTTCTTCAATTTCTCTGTAGATTAGCTTGATTTCTTAGTGATTTACTGTTCTGAACCTGCGCATCTCTATCATTGGTATCAGAGACAGTTGTGCGCTGGATGACCTTAACGCGTGCAAAAATGGAAGGGAGAATGAATGAAATTGAGCGGATTCAACGAGAAATGGCTGCAACCATGGAGGCGAACAGGGTGACGATGGAAGCCAATTTCGCAGCGTTGATGGAGAGAGAGCGGAATCGATCGCGAAGCAGATCGCATACGTTGCACTCTTCGCATCGAACCTTTCATCGTAATCACAAGAAGGGATCGGACAGTTCAGATAACTCCGATGATCAATCGGTATATTCTTCATCGCACGTGAATTACGATCACCACAGAAGCCATCACAATCATCAAACATGTCGGAAAATTGACCTACCTCTTTTTAATGGCCAAGATGCTTTCGGTTGGTTAGTTAGAATGGATCGTTACTTCAGGTTGAATAATACCAATGAAGAAAGAAAAATTGATGTTGCTGTGATTGCTATGGAAGATCGGGCACTTAGTTGGTTTCAATGGTGGGAGCGACATGCCTTACAGACGAATTGGGAAGATTTTGAAGAAGCGTTAACCAAGAGGTTCCAACTTGACCTCGTGCAGAATCCATTGGGACCTTTGCTCAGTTTGAAGCAAAGAGGTTCAGTTACTGAGTTCAGGGCACAGTTTGAAGTGGCTATGGCTTCCCAAAAGCATCTTAGTGAAGAGGTTTTGAAAGGAATATTTCTGAAGGGACTCAGAGAGATATTAGAGCTGAATTGAAATTATACAGTATCAGAACTCTAGCTAAGGTCATGGATGTAGCCTTGTTGATTGAGAATAAAAACAATGAAGTCATGATAAAGAAGAACAAAGAAGAAGGCAAGAAGAAGTGGAATGGGAACAAAGGATCTGAAATTCAGCAGCTGAATTGGGAGCATAGTAGTATGTGGAAGAGTAACCCTAATGCTACCACAAGTTCTGGCAAGATCATACAGGAAAGCAAGCCAAATGACAGTGTGATAACACAGGTTCAGAACAAAAGCCCCAGATTATCCCAAAGTGTTTCAAATGTGGGGAAGATTGGAATAAAGGACATTTATGCAAGATGAAGAACTTTAAAATGATTTTAGTGGAGCAATCTGAGGATGAAACTGACTCTGAAGTTGAATTTCTACAGCCTGGAGATGATAAAACTACACCTCTAGAATTGAAGACTATGCAGCTATCTATGTTAAGCAAAGAGGGAATACCTTCTCTGAAAACATTTAAGGTAAAAGGGAAAATGAAGTGGCCTGATGGGGAACAAACAGTTAATGTACTTATTGATAGTGGTGCATCCCGTAATTTTATCTCACAAGAACTGGTGGAAAGAGGAAAGATACCTTATACTGCAATGCGGGGATACAAAGTGCAAATTGGCAATGGGGAGTGTATACTCAACTGTGGTAAATGTGCAGGAGTGGGCCTGAATGTGCAAGGTGTTGAGATTCAGCAGACCTATTACTTAATAGAGTTGGGAGGCACTGATGTAGTTCTTGGTATGGAGTGGTTGGCTGCAATTGGAGATATGGAAGCGAATTTCAAAGATCTGATCATTAAGTGGAAGCAACAGGGGGATACGTGCACCATTAAAGGAGACTCAACATTGAATCAAATGGAGGTGTCTTTAAAAACTATGGTGCACATCTTAAAGCAAACAGGAGATGGGTTTGTGCTGTGCGATGAAGGTCAAAGGAGTATGCTGGAGCAGAGTCAAAGTACAGGAGGAGAGTGGGCCAGTGTGACAGCTGAATTTCCAGAAGTGTTTACTTCTCAATTAAAATTCCTTCCAGAAAGAGATTGTGATCATGCCATAAACATCAAGGAAGGGGCAAGAATTTCTAACTGGAGACCCTATGGGAGGTCATACAATTATTCTAAGGAAGACATAAGAGAGCCTTTTCCAACAGGTGACTCAGGCCCTTGGTTATTGAGCAGTGGAAATGGTAAGAGTAACCATGCAGAAACTGGTGAAAGAAAGATGGTCTTCGACTATGTAACTTCTGGGAGTTTTTGTCTCCAGCCTCTATTCCGGTTTGCGTTGCAAGAAGTGATAATGAAGTTCCAGCATGTTCTAAAGCTCATGGTACCACTACTACGGAAATATTGGGAAGGAAGAGGTGAAAGATTGAAATGGAAGTGGAAGATGGCTGACTCCTCTTACCCACCTTGAGGACAAGGTGGTTGTTTAGGAGGGGAGTATGTTAGGAATTTAATTTACGCACACGAAAAAAAACAATAACGAAGAACACACGAAATTTGGTAACCCAGTTCGCCACGAATGACTACGTCTGGGGCGCTACCAAGCTAGGAATATTATTGCTATTTTCGGATCCACACACAATGATTACAAGGGAGAGAGCTTGTATTTATAGAGAAGTAAATCCTAACCCCAAGGCAACTATGATGTGTTTCCAAAAATAAATTAAGAAACTGTCTCTAACACCTTACAATCTCTCACCTAGAGACTGTCTTCTTCAAACCTCCCTTGTAAGCATGGTAGCGCCCGGCCTTCATCTTCAAGTACCCAGGCCAATTGAAGCTATGCAAAGCTTCAATTTCTCCAAGGTTACCACCTTAGTAAACATGTCTGCTGGATTCTCACTCCCACGGATCTTCACAAGCTGCAATGCCTCTATCTCCCGAAGATGACGAATGTAGTGATACTTCAACCGAATGTGTTTGGTTCTCTTGTGAAAAGCTGAGTTGTTGGCCAAGAAGATAGCACTTTGACTGTCACTGTAAAGAATGCTATTCTTGTACTCCTTCCCAAGTTCCCCAAGTAAATTCTGAAGCCACACCATCTCCTTACTTGCCTCCGTAATGGTCACATATTTAGCTTCAGTGGTAGATAATGCAAGAATCTTTTGCAGCTGCGAAAGCCAAGAAACTGCCGTTCCACCGAATGTAAAAACATACTACCCGGTGGTCCCTTCGATCCATCCGAGTCATTCGATGCCAGGTCTGCATCAACATGTCCCAGCAGCTCTACATTCTTCCCATCAAAACACAAAGCATTAGAAGCAGTACCCTTCAAATACCTCATTATCCACTTCACAGCTTCCCAATGTTCTTTCCCGAGGTCTCCCATGAATCTGCTTACTACTCCCACTGCATGTGCAATGTCTGGCCTTGTGCACACCATCGCGTACATTATGCTCCCAATTGCCGATGCGTATGGGACATTTTGCATTTGAGCACGCTCTTCCTTGTTCTTCGGTGAGTCTTCCTTGCTAAGCTTGAAGTGACTACCCAACGGTACACTTGCTGCCTTTGCATCTTGCATTCTGAATTTTTCCAATACTTTCTGAATGTATTCTGCCTGTGAAAGATACAATTTGCCCGCTGCCTTATCCCTCTCAATTCGCATGCCCAAAATCTGTTTTGCCTCTCCAAGATCCTTCATGGAAAAACGTTCTGACAACTGTTGCTTTAACTTCTCATTTTCCTTTGAACTAGCTCCTGCAATCAACATGTCCTCTACATATAATAGCAAGATAAGATAACAGTTCTCGGTCTTCTTGTAGTAGCAGCAATTGTCGGTGTGACATCTCAAGAAACTGATTTCACGCATGAAACCATCAAATTTCTTGTACCATTGCTTCGGTGCTTGCTTCAACCCGTATAAGCTCTTCACTAGCTTACATACGAGATTCTCACTGCCTTCCGCCACATAGCCCTCCGGTTGCACCATGTAAATTTCATCATTCAGATCACCATGAAGGAATGCAGTCTTCACATCCATCTGATGTAACAACAAATTCTCTGCAGCAACTAACCCCAACACTAACCGAATAGTAGTAAGTTTCACAACTGGAGAGAATATGTCGGTGTAATCAATACCATACCGTTGCTCGAATCCCTTCACAACTAGCCTAGCTTTGTAGCGTTTGTTACCATCTGCCTCCTTCTTGATGCAATAAACCCACTTGCAGTGCAAAGCCTTCTTTCCTCTCGGTAGCTCAACTATCCTCCAAGTATCATTGGATGTGAGAGATGTCATCTCATCATCCATTGCAAGTTTCCATTTGCCCTTGTCATCAACCCGAATTGCCTCTGCATAGGACTCCGGTTCACCACCATCAATAAGCAACAAATAGAAATTAGAGGGTGAATACCTATTTGGTGCTCTCCGGTTTCTTGCAGGCCGCTGCCTTGGCGGGGTTGATGGATCCTCATCACTGCTCAACTCTTCATTTTGATCTTGCTTGCTCCCACCCGAATTAGAGATATCCAACTCTATGATCTTCGGACTTTCTTGCTCAAAATCGGATGCACTCAATCTGTCCTTGTACATAACCTGCTCGTTGAATACCACATCTTGACTACGAATAATCTTCCTATTCTGATCATCCCAGAATCTGTATCCATATTCATCACCACCATAGCCAACAAATGTACACTTGACAGGTTTAGCGTCTAACTTGCTTCGGTCAACGAAACTGATATGAACATAAGCAACACAACCAAATATGCCAAGATAGGACAGATTAACCTCCTTACCCGTCCACCTTTTTTCAGGAATGCCATTCTCCAATGAGATCGTTGGACTTCTGTTGATGAGAAAAGCCACAGTGTTTATTGCATCCGCCCAAAACATCTTCGGTAAGCCACTCTTCAACCTCATGCATCTTGCCCGCGGAAGTTAAAGAGGCTCCGAGGAAGATGGCGTACCGATTGAGGCTTAGAGAAGTTTGAGGGAGAGAGGCGTCGAGTGGTTAACAAGTTTCTTCAACATGATTTGGAGAAACAACAAGATGCCAACGAGTTGGCTGAAGAGTATTCTTATCTCCTTATTCAAGAATAAAGGTGATGTACTCTTGCCAACTATCAAGGGATTAAGCTTATGAGTCACACCATGAAACTTTGGGAATGAGTGATTGAGCAAAGACTTCGAAGAACTGTGAAGATTTTAGAGAATCAATTGAGTTTTATGCCTGGTCGTTCAACAACTGAGGCCATTCATCTTCTTCGCAACTTACGGAGAAGTATAGAGATGCTCACAAGGATTTGCATTTGGTGTTCATTGACTTAGAAAAGACTTATGATAGGGTACCTCGAGAAGTTCTTTGGTGGGTTGTAACTAGAAAAGACATATCACACAAGTATATCAACATCATCATGGATATGTATGAAGAGTGTACTACAAGTGTCCGTACTAGTGTAGGGAGGATTGCGGAGTTCCCTATTACTATCGGAGTGCACCAAGGATCGATTCTGATCCCGTTCTTATTTGCCATAGTCATGGATGAACTTACAAAGTCAATTCAAGACGAAATACCGTGGTGCATGATGTTTGAAGACAATATTGTATTGATTGATGCAACACAATCAGGTCTTAATGCAAAGTTGGAAGTATGACGAGAAACATTGGAGACCAAGGATTTCGGGCTAAGTCGGAGCAAAACAGAGTACATGGAGTGCAAGTTTGGTGGAGGTAGAACAGTGGTAATAGCGGAATTACTCTAGATGGTAAGGAGATACCAGTCAGTGATATGTTCCGTTACTTGGGCTCCATAATTCAGAAGGACGGTGAGTTAGATGGAGATGTGTCCCATAGAATCAAAACAAGGTGGATGAAGTGGAAGGGTGCGTCGGGATTTCTATGCGATAGAGGGATGCCGACTAGATTGAAGGGTAAATTTTATAGGGCAGCAGTTAGGCCTGCATTATTGTATGGCGTAGAGTGTTGGGCGGTGAAACGATGAGTGTGGCGGAGATGCGCATGCTGCGTTGGATGTGTGGGCATACTAGGAAGGCCCAAACAGATCGAGTGATGCACCTGCCAGACGAGTTGAGATGTGTGGAGAAGAGGCAAGTAAGAGAGGGAGATGAAGGCCCAAACAGACGTGGGTTATGGGAGTCCGGAGTGATATGCTTCTTGGGTTAGAAGAAAGTATGACTTTAGAGAGAGCAAAGTGGAGGACGAGTATCCGTGTGGAGGAGTGATCTCGTATTATCTTTTCCCCTCATTTTTTCCTTGTTTTTTATCCTTTTATCCTTATATATATAAGCATTATTTTTATCTTTTTATATATATCATTTTTAGGTATAATCGTCTCTTTTTATATTATCTTTTTCATAATAGCTTATCTTTTTATCTTTATTTTTTTTCTTTTCCTTTTGGTGGTGATATCATGTGTCAATTCATGTTAGCCGACCCCAATATCTTTTGGGACTAAGGCTTGGATGTTGTTGTTGTGTACATGTCCAACCACGTCACGGACTACCAAGATGACCGGTACCTGACTGGTTAAAAGTTAAATTGAATGTTTTTTAATATTTTGAGGAATTAATTGGATGATTTGATAGTACGAAGACTCAATTAACTTTTCGAGTATAGTAAGAGTACTTATTTGACAGTTTTCCCTACAATATAAATCCAAGAGGGTTTGACAGTGTTCAACTTCTTCTCCCTTTTCCCTTTGTTCCCAGTGCCACCATCTATGTTAATTTGCCACTGCGTATGGATTATCTTTTATATGGCTGATGTTCTTGATTTAATAAAGAAAGTCACTTCCGTTTGCAGGTGGTATGCTTTCTTAGAGATGTAGGAGTTGGTGAAGATACTCTTGTGAGAATACTTATTCGCTGCCCTGAAATTTTTGCTTCAAGCATTCAGAGAACTCTTGAGAGAAAGCTTGCTTTTCTGAGTACTATCGGAGTTTCTAGGAGTCATTTCCAGAGGGTTATAAGGAAATATCCCGAGTTTTTCATATGTGATGTTGATGGATCTTTGCTTCCTAGGTAAGAAAGCATATCTTTACTTTTCTGCTACATGTGCAGGCAGCAAAAAAATACTCCCTCCGCCTCATTTTACCTGTTCTACTTTCCTTTTTGAGTTGTCCCAAAATAAGAGTTCCATTTCCCTTTTTGGAAAGAAATATGTGGTTGACAACAATTCACTTTATTATACTCAAATCTCAATCACAACTTTTATCTTTTCAACAACTTTAAACAACTTTATTAAAAGTTGTGCCAAAACCAAGTGAGACACATAAAATGGGAAGGAGGTAGTATCATTTATTATTTACCTATATACTCCCTCCGTCCCATTTATATTGTCCCGTTTTACCTTTTTGGGAAGTCCCACTTAAATTGTCTCATACCATATTTGGCAAAGTTTGTGCGGCTCTAAATCATTCTTACTTTATTCTTACTTTATCAATTAACATCAACCACACAAACCTACTTTTCTTAATAACCGTGCCACCATATTCCGTCCCAATATAAATGGGACGGAGGTAGTATGAAAAAAAGTTAGATCTATATTTTAAACTGGAGTTAATACCCGGTTTGCCTATAATGCTTCTTCAACTAATTTGAGAGTCAATTTGGTCCTCAACCCTGAAGTTTATTTCTAATTTTGTTTTTATACATATTTTGTTTTAAATAAGAAGAATATGTACTTGTATTGAATATAGTTGCTTAGTCGAGGACCGAATTGAATTCAAAAGTCAAGGACCAAATTGAGTAATTGTATAATAGGATAAATTGGGCTTTTACTCATTAAAATTTTACAAGCAGAGTAAGGTATTTGATGCATGCTGGGATTTCGAAGCGGGACATATCCTTCATGGTCCGTAAGTTTTCACCGTTGCTCGGATACAGTATAGAAAAAATATTGAGGCCAAAGTTGGAATTCCTAGTGAACACAATGGGAAAGGGAATAAGAGAAGTGGTGGAATATCCGAGATACTTCAGCTACTCATTGGAGAAGAAAATCAAACCCAGATATTGGGTGCTGAAGAGTAGAAATGTGGATTTTAGCTTGAAAGATATGTTAGGCAAAAATGACGATGAGTTCTTATCCGAGTTTATGGGGGCTGAGAGGATGCTTCTTCCCCCTTCATAAAGCACTTGTTGCTTAAGTGCTCCTATGTTGCACCGTGACTATACTTACTATTAGAAGGGCCCATGTGACACATCATCCACCACACCTGCTTAATTCTCTCTGGACGAAGACCACATAGAATTAAGGCAAGCAGTCAAGCACCATTGCTTTTCTTCCTCAAATTAAAACTTGTTCCTCTCGCCTATAGAAGAGTCATGATCTAGATCTTCTAGCATCTGGTATGGTCTAAATCTTTTGGTTTGATTTAGAGTCCATTTAGTAATGCTGAAATTAGTTGAATTAGTTGTGTTCTGAAATTGCTAAAATTATGATTGAAACAATTGAATTGGCTAAATCTGCTCAGTTATGGGAAATTTTTATTAAGAAAAAAGGAAAAAGTCTATGAGAAAAGCTAAACTGTCCTCTTCACCAAATTTAGTTACATAAGTATTTCTAGCATCCGATTTCCCCGTACCCCACCGTAGGCGGGAGCCTTTGCGGGACGGGTAATGATGATGATGATGGAAGTATTTTTAGCATTATTTTGATTATTACATAATTCAAAGAATGAAATATGAAGTGCAGTGTTTGGTAAAAAAGTGGTTGATGAGCTAAAAAAGGGATTACCAAACTCACAATTAGTGTGGCCTGAAGCCTGAACCCCTTATGGCTTGTCAAAATGGTCCTAATCTGGTGTGGTTTGAATATTTCTTGTTTTGTCTAGTGTCAATCTTTCTTGATTGTCTTGAATGTTTATGGATTAGTTTCTTCCGAATTTTTCTAAATCAAATAATTGCTGATGTTAAAATTAAAATACCAGGTTTAGTTGCTCTCTGTTCAATTCCGAGTGTGCTGGAGAGCCTGGGATGCTTTCCACCGAACTGCCAAACTGGAGTATGCTAGTGTGAAGGTGACTAGCCAACAGGCAACGCCTGGTTGGTGTGGGGCTCAGTGCCACCTGGAGGCCGGATCTACTAACCGAATATCTGCCGGTTGGCACTGAGGCAACAGCTGACGGGGAGCTGACTATTGATCAGAAAAAATGGAGCGCACTAGGCCTATGATTCTTCCGAGGGATGGACTGTGCCGGTTCGTCCCGACCCGGTACCTGGCCCGGCCCGTTATTGTGCGGGACTGGCCCGACCGACTGGGACTGAGACTGGAGGCTCGAACCGGGGGTATTATTGGCGGGCTACGGGATGCATATATGGTGGACCGGCCCGGCCGCTCTGGGCCCTTTTTTTTTTTCCGCATTCATTGGCTGCTAGGTGGGTGGGGCTGGGTGGTTTGGGGGGGTGGGTTGAGGGGTGGGGGGGGGGGAGTGGGAGGTAGGAAAAATCAGAAAAACCAATTTTTTAAAAAATTTAGACTTGACCCGACCCGACCGGGCCTGGTACCAACCTGGGCCAGTACCGGTCCTTCATCCTAAAACCCCAGTCCCGCCCAATCCCAGCCAGGGGGCCCAGTGACCCAGTCCATGCCTAGTTCTTCCCATTTGTTGCATTGTTTTTTTCACTTTGGCACTTCTCTCTCAAATAAAGGCTAACCCAGTCAAATTGAATTGAGTATGTAAGTTGGCATTCTAACATTTATGTTAAACAAGCCAATGAAGTTTGTAATTCAAGTTTTAAAGATGCCCAACTTATTACAGATAATTAGTAATTAAATACAAGCTTAATGAAGTTTTATTAAAAGTTGTATGAAGCTCAACGTATTGAATTCAATTATGAATTATGAATCATAACAGATAATTAGTAATTGAATACAAGTTTAATGAAGTTTTATTGAAAGTTGTATGAAGCTCAACGTCTTGAATTCAATT